TCCAATTCTGTGAAGAAAGTCATTGGTAACTTGATGGGCATGGCATTGAATCTATAAATTACCTTGGGCAGTATGGCCATTTCACAATATTGATTCTTCCTGTCCATGAGCATGGAATGTTCTTCCATTTGTTTGTGTCCTCTTTTGTTTTGTTGAGCAGTGGTTTGTAGTTCTCCTTGAAGAGGTCCTTCACATCCCTTGTAAGTTGGATTCCTCAGTATTTTATTCTCTTCATAACAGTTGTGAATGGGAGTTCACTCATGATTTTGCTCTGTTTCTCTGTTATTGGTGTATAAGAATGCTTGTGATTTTTGTGCATTGATTTTGTATCCTGAGACTTTGCTGAAGTTGCTTATCAGCTCAAGGAGATTTTGGGCTGAGATGATGGTTTTTCTAAATATACAATCATGTCATTTGACTTCTTCTGTTCCTAATTGAATACCCTTTATTTCTCTCTCTTGCCTGATTGCCCTGGCCAGAACTTCCAACACTATGTTGAATAGGAGTGGTGAGAGAGGGCATCCTTGTCTTGTGCCGGTTTTCAAAGGGAACGCTTCCAGTTTTTGCCCATTCTGTATGATATTGGCTGTGGGTTTGTCATAAATAGCTGTTATTATTTTGACATACGTTCCATCAATATCTAGTTTATTGAGAGTTTTTAGCATGAAGGGCTGTTGAATTTTGTCAAATGCCTTTTTTGCATCTATTGAGATAATCATGTGGTTTTTGTTGTTTCTGTTTATGTGATGAATTACATTTATTGATTTGCATATGTTGAACCAGGCTTGCATCCCAGGGATGAAGCTGACTTGATCGTGGTGGATAAGCTTTTTGATGTGCTGCTGGATTCAGTTTGCCAGGATTTTATTGAGGATTTTCGCATTGATGTTCTTCAGGGATATTGGTCTAAAATTCTCTTTTTTTGTTGTTCCTGTGCCAGGTTTTTGCTATCAGGATGATGCTGGTGTCATAAAATGAGTTAGGGAGGATTCCCTCTTTTTCTGTTGATTGGAATAGTTTCAGAAGGAATGGTACCAGCTCCCCTTTGTACATCTGGTAGAATTCGGCTGTGAATCCATTTGGTCCTAGACTTTTTTGGTTGGTAGGCTATTAATTATTGCCTCTATTTCAGAGCCTGTTATTGGTCTATTCAGAGTTTTGACTTCTCCCTGGTTTAGTCTTGGGAGGGTGTATGTGTCCAGGAATTTATCCATTTCTTCTAGATTTTCTAGTTTATTTACGTAGAAGTATTTATAGTATTCTCTGATGGTAGTTTGTATTTCTGTGGGATTGGTGGTGATATCCCCTTTCTCATTTTTTATTGCATCTTTTTGAGTCTTCTCTCTTTTCTTCTTTTTTAGTCTTGCTAGCAGTCTATTAATTTTGTTGATCTTTTCAAAAAACCAACTCCTGGATTCACTGATTTTTTTGAACGGTGTTTTTGTGTGTCTATCTCCTTTGGTTCTGCTCTGTTCTTAGTTATTTCTTGCCTTCGGCTAGCTTTTGAATGTGTTTGCTCTTGCTTCTCTATTTCTTTTAATTGTGATGTTAGGGTGTTGATTTTAGATCTTTCCTGCTTTCTTTTGTGGGCATTTAGTGCTATAAGTTTCCCTCTACACCCTGCTTTAAATGTGTCCCAGAGATGCTGGTACATTGCATCTTTGTTCTCATTGGTTTCAAAGAACATCTTTATTTTTGCCTTCATTTTGTTATTTAACCAGTAGTCATTCAGGAGCAGGTTGTTCAGTTTCCATGTAGTTGTGTGGTTTTGAATGAGTTTTTTAATCCTGAGTTCTAATTTTGATTGCACTGTGGTCTGAGAGACAGTTTGTTGTGATTTCTGTTCTTTTACATTTGCTGAGGAGTGCTTTACTTCCAATTATGTGGTCAATTTTAGAATAAGTGTGACATGGTGCTGAGAAGAATGTATATTCTGTTGATTTGGGGTGGAGAGTTCTGTAGATGTCTGTTAGGTCTGCTAGGTGCAGAACTGAGTTCAAGTCCTGGATATCCTTGTTAACCTTCTGTCTCATTGATCTGTCTAATATTGATGTTGGGGTATTAAAGTCTTCCATTATTATTGTGTGGGATTCTAAGTCTCTTTGTAGGTCTCTGAGGACTTGCTTTATGAATCTGGGTACTTCTGTATTGGGTGCATATGTATTTTAGTTAGTTAGCTCTTCTTGTTAAATTGATCCCTTTACCATTATGTAATGACCTTCCTTGTCTCTTTTGATCTTTCTTGGTTTAAAGTCTGTTTTATCAGAGACTAGGATTGCAACCCCTCCCTTTTTTTTGCTTTCCATTTGCTTGGTGGATCTTCCTCTATCTCTTTATTTTGAGCCTATGTGTGTCTTTGCATTTGAGATGGGTCTCCTGAATACAGCACATTGATGGGTCTTATCTCTTTATCCAATTTGCCAGGCTGTGTCTTTTAATTGGGGCATTTAGCCCAGTTACATTTCAAGTTAATATTGTTATGTGTGAATTTGATCCTGACATTATGATGTTAGCTGGTTATTTTGCCCGTTAGTTGATGCAGTTTCTTCTTAGCATCGATGGTCTTTACAATTTGGCATGTTTTTGCAGTGTTTGGTACCGATCGTTCCTTTCCATGTTTAGCTCTTCCTTCAGGAGCTCTTGTAAGGCAGGCCTCGTGGTGACAAAATCTCTCAGCATTTGCTTGTCTGTAAAGGATTTTATTTCTGCTTCACTTATGAAGCTTGGTTTGGCTGGATATGAAATTCTGGGTTGAAATTCCTTTCTTTAAGAATGTTGAATATTGGCCCCCACTGTCTTCTGGCTTGTAGAGTTTCTGCCAGGAGATCTGCTGTTAACCTGATAGGCTTCCTTTTGTGGGTAACCCAACCCTTCTCTCTGGCTGTGTTTAACATTTTTTCCTTCATTTCAGCCTTGGTGAATCTGACAATTATGTATCTTGGGGTTGCTCTTCTCGAGGAGTATCTTTGTGGTGTTCTGTGTATTTCCTGAATTTGAATGTTGGCCTGCCTTGCTAGGTTGGGGAAGTTCTCCTGGATAATATCGTAGAGAGTGTTTTCCAGTTTGGTTCCATTCTCACCGTCACTTTCAGGTACACCAATCAAACATAGATTTGGTCTTTTCACATAGTCCGTTATTTCTTGGAGGCTTTGTTTGTTTCTTTTTACTCTTTTTTCTCTAATTTTGTCTTCTCGCTTTATTTCATTAATTTCATCTTCAGTCACTGATATCCTTTCTTCCACTTGATTGAATTGGCTATTGAAGCTTGTGCATGCATCATGAAGTTCTTATGCCATGGTTTTCAGCTCCATTAGGTCATTTAAGGTCTTCTCTACACTGTTTATTCTAGTTAGCCACTCGTCTAACCTTTTTTCAAGGTTTTTAGCTTCCTTGCGATGGGTGAGAACATGCTCCTTTAGCTCAGAGAAGTTTGTTATTACCGACCTTCTGAAGCCTACTTCTGTCAACTTGTCAAAGCCATTCTCCGTCCAGCTTTGTTCTGTTGCTGGCGAGGGACTGTGATCCTTTGGAGAAGGGGTGCTCTGGTTTTTAGAATTATCAGCTTTTGTACTCTGGTTTCTCCCCATCTTTGTGGTTTTATCTACCTTTGGTGTTTGATGTTGGTGACCTACAGATGGGGTTTTGGTGTGGATGTCTTTTTTGTTGATGTAGATGCTATTCCTTTATTTTTGTTAGTTTTTCTTTTACCAGTCAGGTCCCTCAGCTGCAGTCTGTTGGAGTTTGCTGGAGGTCCACTCCAGACCCTGTTTGCCTGGATATCACCAGTGGAGGATGCAGAACAGCATTTTGCAGAACAGCAAATACTGTTGCCTGATCCTTCCTCTGGAAGCTTCATCCCAGAGGGACACTTGCCTGTATGAGGTGTCAGTTGGCCCCTACTGGGAGGTGTCTCCCAGTTAGAGTACACGGGGGTCAGGGACCCACTTGAGGAGGCAGTCTGTCTGTTCTCAGCGCTCAAACGCCATACTGGGAGAATGCTGTCTTCAGAGCTGTCAGACAGGGACATTTAAGTCTGCACACGTTTCTGCTGCCTTTTTTTCAGCTATGCCCTGCCCACAGAGGTGGAGTCTATAGAGGCAGTAGGCGTTGCTGAGCTGTGGTGGGCTCCACCCAGTTTGAATTGCCTGGCCACTTTGTTTACCTACTCAAGCCTCAGCAATGGTGTATGCACCTCTCTGCCACCAGGCTGCTGCCTGGCAGGTCAATCTCAGACTGCTGGGCTAGCAGTGAGCAAGGCTCCGTGGGTGTGGGACCTGCCGAGCCAGGCACGGGAGAGAATCTCCTAGTCTGCTGGTTGCCAGGACCATAGGAAAAGCGCAATATTTGAGTGGGAGTGTCCCGGTTTTCCAGGTACAGTCTGTCACGCCTTCCCTTGGCTAGGAAAGGGAAATCCCTGGACCCCTTGCATTTCCTGGGTGAGGCAATGCCCCGCCCTGCTTCGGCTCACCCTCCATGGGCTGTACCCACTGTCCAACCAGTCCCAGTGAGATGAATCAGGTACCTCAGTTGGAAATGCAGAAATCACCCGTCTTCTGGGTCAATCACTCTGGGAGCTGCAGACCAGAGCTGTTCCTATTCAGCCATCTTGGACAGTGAGAATTTGACAGATTCTTGAAAGAAAAACTGAGTAGAATGTGCTTAATGACTGTATGTTAAAGAATGAAGGTGGGAGACTACATGAATTTAAGTTAACTTAGCAAATTGACAGGAATTTGAAAATGGATCAGTTAGCTTTTTGAAGCAGGAAAAGAAGTTGAATTTAGTTTTGAACATACACTGTGTTTGAGGTGTCTGTAAGATATACATAAAAGTGGGCTATAGCCAATAAGGAGTATAGGACTTGGTTTAAAACTGGGAATAGGGAGGGGAAAAGAAAGAAAGAGAAAGGATTCCTTTAGAGTGAGGAGAGGAATCAGTGAAACTGAGCATCAGTTAACTTTTTAGTGCTTAGAATTCTGGTTTTATTTCTTCTTTTGTAGACAGACCATGGATTCTTATGATGTACCAGAGTCAACTCCTAGTGCATCCTCAAGACCTGAAGATTACTTTGTAGGTGCCACTCCTCTGCAAAAACGATTAGAATCAATCAGGAAACAGACTTCATTTATCCCGACTCCACCTCGGAGGAAAGTTCCCCAGTGTTCACAGTTGCAGGTATGCTTTTTGTATCCCTTTGTGTTAGTCAATAATCGAGAATATCTGTGAACAAAACATTTCAATTTTTGTAACTATAGTATTCTTAGTATCTTCTTAACCCATCAACTAATAAAATAAATGAGAAACAAAGAAACAATTTCATAATGACCAGTGCTACCTCTTTTATGTCTTTTATTTGTTTTTTATATTTGTATTTATTTATTTATTTAGAGACAGAGTCTCGCTCTGTCGCCCAGGCTGGAGTGCAGTGGCGCAATCTCTGCTCACTGCAAGCTCCGCCTCCGGGGTTCATGCCATTCTTCTGCCTCAGCCTCCCCAGTAGCTGGGACTATAGGCACCCGCCACCACGCCTGGCTAATTTTTTGTATTTTTTAGTAGAGACGGGGTTTCACCATGTTAGCCAGGATGGCCTCGATCTCCTGACCTTGTGATCCGCCTGCCTCGGCCTCCCAAAGTGCTGGGATTACAGGCGTGAGCCACCACGCCTGTTTATGTTGTTTATTTATTTTTAAAGTAATTTTCAAACATACAACCCATATATATACCAGGAATTTTTATGTATTCTGACCTCCTTTAATCTGAATCATGTCCACGGTATTTTTTTTAACTTTTATTTTAAGTTTAGGGGTATATGTGCAGGATGTGCAGGTTTGTTACATAGGTAAACGTGCGTCATGGGGGTTGGTTATACAGATTATTTAATCGCCCAGGTGTTAAGCCTAATACCCATTAGTTATTTTTCCTGCTTCTCTCCCTCCTCCCACCTTCCACTCCCTGATAGGCCTCAGTGTGTGTTGTTCCCCTCTATGCATCCATGTGTTCTCATTGTTTAGCTCCCACTTATAAGTGAGAACATGTGGTATTTGGTTTTCTGTTCCTTTGCTAGTTGGCTAAGGATAATGGCCTCTAGCTCCATCCATGTCCCTGCAAAGGATATGATCTTGTTCATTTTTATGGCTGCATAGTGTTCCATGGTGTATATGTACCACATTTTCTTTATCCAGCCTGTCATTGATGGGCATTTAGGTTGATTCCATGTCTTTGCTATTGTGAATAGTGCTGCAGTGAGTATAGCATGCATGTGTCTTTATGGTAGACCGATTTATATTCCTTTGGGTATGTACCCCAGTAAGGGGATTGGTGGGTCAAATAATATTTCTGTCTCTAGGTCTTTGAGGAATTGCCACACAGTCTTCCACAGTGGTTGAACTAATTCACACTCCCACCAACAATGTATAAGCATTCCTTTTTCTCCACAACCTCACCAGCATCTGTTATTTTTTGACTTTTTATTTTTCTCCACAACCTCGCCAGCATCTGTTGTTTTTTGACCTTTTAATAATAGCCATTCTGACTGATACGAAATATCTCATTGTGGTTTTGATTTGCATTTCTCTAACGATCAGTGATGTTGAACTTTCCTTCATATGATTGTTGGCCTCATGTATGTCTTCTTTTGAGAAGTATCTGCTTATGTCCTTTGCTGACTTTTTAATGGGGTTGTTTTTTCCTTTTTTTTTTTTTTTGAGAGAGAGTCTCGCTCTGTCACCCAGGCTGGAGTGCAGTGGCATGATCTTGGCTGACTCCACCTCCCAGATTGAAGCGATTCTTCTGCCTCAGCCTCCCGAGTAACTGGGATTACAGACATCCACCACCATGCTCGGCTAATTTTTTTGTATTTTTAGTAGAGACGGGGGTTCACCATGTTGTCCAGGCTGGTCTGGAACTCTTGACCTCAGGTGATCCACCCTCCCTGACCTCTCAAAGTGCTGGGAGTCTTGCTCTATCAGCCAGGCTGGAGTGCCATGGTATGATCTTGGCTCACTGCAACCTCCGCCTCCTGAGTTCAAGCGATTCTCCTGCCTCAGCCTCCCAAGTAGCTGGCACTACAGGTGCCCGCCACCACACCCAGCTACTTTTTTTGTATTGTTAGTAGAGACAGGATTTCACCATTTTGGCCAGGATGGTCTTGAACTCCTAACCTTGTGATCTGCCCGCCTCGGCCTCCCAAAGTGCTGGGATTACAGGCATTAGCCGCCACGCCCGGCCTGGCCCATTTTTTTCTTGTAAATTTGTTTAAGTTCCTTACTGGTGCTGGATAGTAGACCTTTGTCAGATGCATGGTTTGCAAAATTTTTCTCCCATTCTGTGGGTTTTCTGTTTACTCTGTTGATAGTTTCTTTTGGTATGCAGAAGCCCTTTAGTTTAGTTAGATCCCATTTGTCAATTTTTGCTTTCATTGCTATTGCTTTTGGCGTCATTGTCATGAAATCTTTGTCTGTACCTATGTCCTGAATGGTATTGCCTATGTTGTCTTCCAAGGTTTTTATAGTTTTGCGTTTTACATTTAAGTCTTTAATCCACATTGAGTTAATTTTTGTATATGGTATAAGGAAGGGGTCCAGTTTCAGTTTTCTGCGTATGGCTAGCCAGTTATCCCAGTACCATTTATTGAATAGGGAGTCCTTTCCCCATTGCTTTTTTTTCAGGTTTGTCCATAGTATTTATTTGTCTTTAATGACATTGACATTTTTAAAGAATACAGTACAGCCTTCTTTTCCTCTTTAAAGTAGAATATTCCTCATTTTACATCTGTCTGGCATTTTCTCATGATTAGATTGAAATTAGTATTTTTGGCTAGAATATTGCATAGGTGCTGTTGTGTCCTTGTGAATCACATCTTGAGGCACACAGGCGACATTAATTTTGATCATCCTGTCAAGGAGTTCTCCAGTTTCTTTACTTTGTTTATGTACTGTTTTTTCCCTCTCTGCAACTAGTAAGCAGTTTGTGGAAAGACAACTTTAAGGCAGATATTCTGTTAATTGTCAAAATTTCTTCTTAGACTTGGTTTACACTAGTAATTTTTTCCTGTTCCCATCTTTATGGTTTTTCCTGTTCCCATCTTAATGGTTTTTTTTCTGTTCCCATCTTTTCATTTTTTCCCGTTCCCATCTTAATGGTTTTCCAACTCCAGCACTCCTTTCGTGTTTACCAACCAGCCTTTGATATTCTATTGTAACCCTTCTCCTTTTTTCTTCATTTATTTATCTATTTATTATTGGTATAGGCTCATAAATTCCTTTTTTTAAGGATTTTTAATTTATTACTAAATTATTTTGGTATTTAAATTGTCCCAGATTTGTCTGGTGGCAGCATGCTCTGTTTTGATCATTTACAAACAACCCTGAAGGTATATAGCATTAATAATTTCTAATTTTACTGAAGCAGGAAATAAAATCCTATTCAATAAAAGTTTGGTGTGTGGTTTTGAATCACTTAGCTAGGGGCCTGGGTGATCAGTCACTCTCATTGTAGCTTTTTCTCTGGTCAGTAGTCTCATATCCCAAGATATGGTTGTATACGTAGTACTGGGGATATGAAACAAGTTTTATTTCTTTGTGACAATTTTCTTTTTTAAAAAATTTCTTCTTAGAGACAGGGTCTTGCTTAGTACAGGGCCTCACTCTGTCACCAAGGCTGGAGTGCAGTGGCACAATCATAGCTCACAGCAGCTTCTAACTCTGGGGCTTAAGTGATCCTCCGAAGTATAGCTGGGAATAACAGGCACGTGCCACCATGCCTGGCTAAGTTTTTAAAGATGTTTTTTTTTTTTTTTAAATAGAGATGAAGGTCTCACTATGTTGACCAGGCTATTCTTGAACTCCTGGGCTCAAGCAATCCTCCTGCCTCTGCCTCCCAAAGTGGTGGGATTACAGGTGTGAGCCACCATGCCTGGCTTTCTTTGTGACAATTTTCTTAAAGAAAAATTTCAATTGCTGGTAATGAAAGTGTTGATTCTTAACCAGAAAACATAAATTTTATATAAATTGAATATTGGAATGTTCACTTCATTGCTTCCTCATCTCTATGTATTTTAGTCATAATAATAAAACAACTTATAACATTTCAATGAATGCTTTAGTCAGAACAAACGTTTTTGTCAAGTAGACAACTGTAGTGAAAGTTCTAAAAGGTTGTTGGAGCTGTGAGACTATGTTGGGAAGTATGGACTCTATAAAAAAATTCGGTTTGGAAGGAAACTAGGAGCCTATATGGCGGCATATATGAAGGCCCTGAATGATGCCATGGGGCCAATACAAATGAAGTGTTTTTGTTTTTAATGGTACCTGTGGTTCTAATAGAGCATAGCAAAAAATATTCCCAAATATCTTTTTTTTTTTTTCCAGGCTAGTCTAGCACAGTAGTGAGAAGGGGGAAGTGGGGAAGAGTAGAACAAGGAGTTGGAAACAAGGAGTTTGATCTATAACTGATTGTGTACAATCAACTGAGATAACTCATTACCTTTGGACAAGCCCCCAAGTATCTTTTTATTTAATCTGTTGAATTGGGCATGGTGTCATAGAGTAGATTTGCTGCCAAACAATTTTTTTTTTTTTTTAAAAGACAGAGTCTCGCTTTGCCATCCAGGCTGGAGTGCAGTGGCATGATCTCAGCTCACTGCAACCTTTGCCCTCCAGATTCAAGGAATTCTCCTGCCTCAACCTCCTGAGTAGCTGGGATCACAGGTCCACACCACCATGCCCGGCTTATTTATTTTTGTATTTTTAGTAGAGATGGTGTTTTACCGTGTTGGCTAGGCTGGTCTCGAACTCCTGACCTTGTGATCCACCTGCCTCAGCCTCCCAAAGTGCTGGGATTACAGGCATGAGCCATCGCGCCTGGCCCAAACAATTTTTTTAAATTAGGGCTAATCAAATTAGATACTTTAGGAATGGTTACTATTTTTGAAATCTATAATTTGAAGTTTCTAAAAGTGAAACATAAATTTTATGTTAAATATTTATTGGACACTTGTTCTAGATAGCTTTGTTCTAGAGAGAACTAAATAGACAAAATCACTGCTGTCATCAAGCTTATACACCAGTAGACAGATAATAAAAATACAAAAAAATTGCAGACAAGAGTATAATGTTGAGTAGTAATAAGTGCTGTGAAGAAAAATAAATCTGGGTGAGGTGATAAAAACTTGGAGTGCGTGCAGGTGCTACTTTAGATCGAGTGGCCTCTTGGATTACATCTGGGTAGAGAACTGAATGAAGTGAAGGAACTTGCCGTGTGAACACTTGGGAGAAGAGCATTCTAAAGAGAAGTTACAGAAAGGTAAAAGTCTGTTCAAGGATCTGCAAAAATGAGTCCTGCAAACTCACTTGGTTGGAGTGCAAAAATCAGGTACCCTATAATATATTTGTATTAGATGTTTTAAATACCGTGATTAAATTCTTATTAATGTTTCCTCATTCTTAAACTTCTTTTGTCTTGATTTTTTTTTTTTTTTGTAGGAAGATGTTGACCCTCAAAAGGTTGCATTCCTTCTGCATAAACAGTGGACTTTATATAGTTTAACTCCCTTATATAAATTCTCCTATAGTAATCTCAAAGAATATTCTAGACTTCTGAATGCTTTTATTGTTGCTGAAAAGCAAAAAGGACTTGCTGTGGAAGTGGGAGAAGACTTCAACATCAAAGTGATTTTTTCTACTCTCCTAGGAATGAAAGGAACACAAAGGGATCCAGAAGCATTTCTTGTCCAGGTATAGTACATAAACAATACTTGCTTCCTAGGGGAAAAGAATCTGCATTTTCTTTGTTTGGAAATTGTTGTGATATTTTCTTAACTGTTTTAAAAATTTCTAAGTTTGTGATTTATAATGTATTTTATGTCTTGTTTGACTAAACTATAATAATTAGATGTAATCAACTTAAAAATTTTTTTCCTGCGTATGTAGGTAGTTTGTGTACAAAATCATATTTATTTTTGAAAACTGAGGAAATACATGAAAGTACAAAAAAAGTTAAAAATTATAGTTTTAACATTTTGGTATATATGTTTGGTTATCTGTATTTATATAGTCTTGAAATTGGGATCATATTGCCCATACTTGTACATTATATTTTTACTAATATTGTAGATAATTACTCATGTCATTAGGAATTCTATATTTTTGTGAGTTTTTCTGGGATTAAATTTCTATAAGTAGAATTTTAGTATAAAAATATGTATCATTAAATATTGTGATACTTCATGCCAGGTTACTTTCAGAAATGTAACATTTTAAAGCCAGGTGCAGTGGCTCACGCCTGTAATCCCAGCACTTTGGGAGGCTACGATGGGCAGATCACCTGAGCCTAGGAGTTCGAGACCATCCTGGGCAACATGACAAGATGCCATCTCTACAAAAAATACAATAAATAAATAAATCTGGTTTCTTAATCAATCAAGATAGTTCTATTGCTCTTATATACTACTTACAGGAAGGAATATAAAATGTTGCATTTCTTTTTTTTTTTTTTTTTGAGATAGGGTCTCATTTTGTCACCCAGGCTGGAGTGCAGTGGCACGATCTTGGCTTACTGCAACCTCTGCCTCCTGGGCTCAAGTGATCCTTCCACCTTAGCCTTCCAAGTAGCTGGGACTACAGGTGCATGCCACCACACTCGGGTAAATTTTGTATTTTTTGTAGACAGGGTCTTGCCATATTGCCCAGGTTGGTCTCGAACTCCTGGGCTCAAGTGATCCACCCACCTTGGCTTCCCAAAGTGCTGGGATTACAGGCATGAACCACCACACTCAGCCTCAGATTTATTTTGTTTATTATTCATGCCTGCTGCTTCTGTTTCTTTTGAGCTAACTAATCTTAATAATGGATAAGGAAATTAAGTTCTCAAGCAGTTGAAAAGGACTGACTTTTTGTTTGTATGGATTAGGGGTCAGTAAATCATAGGCCAAATCTGATCTGCTGCTTGTTTTTGTAAATAAGGTTTTATTGGAACATAGCCCCTTTTATTTGCTTATATATTGTCTGTGGCTGCTTTTGTGCTGCAACAGCAGAGTTGAGAAGTTGCAACAGAGACTATATTGCCAGCAAAGTCTGAAATGCTTACTAATTGGCCCTTTACAGAAAAAAATTGGTGACCCCAGATATAGGTCGTGGTATTGGCAAAGATCTCAAGATGTTCTAGGATTAGGGTTAGCCGAAAAAATAGTGAATTAAACAAGATAGTGGTATACTGTCTTCTTTTTTTTTTTTTTTTTTTTTTAAAGTGCATGGATGTAAGCTGTCCAAGGCTGGTATGATGCTTGATGAAATAATTAATAATCTAAGCTCTTCCTTCTCCTTAGTGCATGACTTTCATCCTAAAAGTTACCTTATGGTCTAACATAAGATGTCTCCAGCAGCTCTAAACCTTATATTTAAGTTCCAGGCAGGAAGTAGGAAGAAGATGGGAAGGACAAACAGAACCTGATGCAGAGTAAATCTTGCTGAGACCCAACAACTTCTGTTTACATCTTAGTTGGAAGGGAGACTAGAAAAGAATGTTTTTTCAGTGAGTACTCTGCCAACTTAACTAAAGAGACTTTTTTTTTTTTGAGACAGGTTCTCACTCTGTCACCCAGGTTGAGTGCAGTGGCACTGTCTCGGCTCACTGCAACCTCTACCTCCTGGGCTCAAGTAGTCCTCCCGCCTCAGCCCCCCAAGTAGCTGGGACTATAGGCATGTGCTGCCATGCCAGGCTAATTTTATATTTTTGTAGAGACAGGGTTTCACCATGTTGCCCAGGCTGGTCTCAAACTCCTGGGCTCAAGTGATCCACCCGCCTCGGCCTCCTTAAGTTCTGGGATTGCAGGCATGAGCCATCTCGCCCGGCCATAAAGGGACTATTTTATTGTGGAAGGAAAAATGGATACTCAAGAGACAACTAGCAGTTTTTGTCAAGTGAAGCACCTGATGCACAGAGAAGTTTTGTGACTTGCATATTATGAGGCAAGCATCTACCCTTGTGAGGATTAGAAATGACCTCTTGAATTCCTGGTATAGTGTTCTAATAGTTTTCAAATTAAATCTCATTTCTTGATAGGATTACAGGACTCTTAGGTCATGAAAGTGTGATAAACTTAATATATCTAAGCTTCCAGGTATTTGAGGGTGTTTCAAAATTTCTTGAATAAGAAGGAGAAATATGTTAAAAGGACTGTGTAAATGATCATTTCTGAAAGGGTGTGATACAAAGCTGTGATCTTAACCTTGGTCTGCTTAATGCTTTAACAGAGTTCTTTGAGTATCTGGAAGGCATGTTTGTCATGTAACTTAAAATTTAAAGTTTGAGGGGTTAGGCAATCAGCTAAAAATATAATAAAAGATCCTAAATTATCTGAATGGATTGTCCAATGAGCCAAATTAGAAGAGATTAAAATTTTAGTAGGAATAAATTTACAGCCTCAGTATAAGTTGGGAGAGATTTACCTATAAAGCAAACATGAATATACAGGGCTAGTTTATATAAAGCTGTCAACTAAAAACCAGAAAACTGCAATCTGAGATTACATTAATAGTATAATCTAGGTTAAAGGTGGTGGTTAGTCTTGCAGTCAGATGTTTTTCCCCCCTCCTTCCCGGAATCAGACCTTTTTAAAGTAATTATGTTCACTTATGAATGATTCCTATGCAGAATAATTTCAGGGAAGAGTGACTAGAATAGTGAGAGAATGTGAATGTATGTCTTAGGTGAATGGCTGAAGAAACTGGAAATGTTGAACTTAGTACTATGTGTGATGGGGATCATCAAATATCTGAAGGACTTTTCCTGTAGAGGAGAGATTAGATATGATTATATTCTACATGCCCAAAAGGAAGAAAGCATGACCAGTGGGTAGAAAATGTAGGGTCTAACATATAAAAGAACATTTTTTTTTTTTTTTTTTGAGACGGAGTCTTGCTGTGTCGCCCAGGCTGGAGTGCAGTGGCCGATCTCGACTCACTGCAAGCTCCGCCTCCCGGGTTCATGCCATTCTCCTGCCTCAGCCTCCCGTGTAGCTGGGACTACAGGCGCCCGCCACCGCGGGCTAATTTTTTGTATTTTTAGTAGAGACGGGGTTTCACCGTGTTAGCCAGGATGGTCTCGATTTCCTGACCTCGTGATCTGCCCGTCTTGGCCTCCCAAAGTACTGGGATTACAGGCGTAAGCCACCGTGCCTGGCCATAAAAGAACATTTTAAGTTGATAGTGCTGCCTTAGGAAATATTGAAGTCTTCCTTAATGAAAGAATTCAAACTTGTTGGATTTTTTGATCTTTCACAGTTCTTTCTAAAGTTGAGGGGTTTTTTTGTTTGTTTGTTTGTTTCAGGGTACTACACCTAGTTATGCCATATTGGTAGCTCTTATTTTGCATTTTGGTTACACCAAGGTCTTGCCATACATCGTGTTTCCACTGTATAAGAATATTGGGGGCCGGGCATGGTAGCTCACGCCTATAATCCTAGTACTTTGGGAGGCGAAGGTGGGCAGATCACCTGAGGTCAGAGGTACGAGACCAGCCTAGCCAATATGGTGAAACCCCATCCCTACTGAAAATACAAAAATTAGCCGGGCATGGTGGTGCATGCCTATAATCCCAGCTACTTGGGAGGCTGAGGCTGGAGAATCACTTGAACCCAGGAGGTGGAGGTTACAGTGAGCTGAGATCGCGCCACTGCACTCCAGCCTGGGCAACAGAGTGAGACTCTGTCTCAAAAAAAAAAAAAAAGGCCAATTATTTTTATACGTCCTGTTAATCATTAGGGAGACTATTCCCTCTATGTTTTTTTGCAGGTATTACATTGGCTCGTCTTATTTTTAATGAACTAATTTTGAGAAGATGGAATTTAGAAGTAAATGTACTTTTGAATTTAAGGGACCTGTTTACTTTCTTTGTAGATTCTGTCAAAATCTCAATTGCCATCTGAGAATAGAGAAGGTAAAGTGTTGTGGACTGGCTGGTTCTGCTGTATTTTTGGAGACAGTCTTCTGGAGACTGTTTCAGAAGATTTCACCTGTCTGCCCTTATTCCTTGCAAATGGAGCAGAGTCTAACACAGCCATAATTGGAACTTGGTTTCAGAAAACCTTTGACTGTTATTTCAGTCCTTTAACAATCAATGCATTTAATCTTTCCTGGATGGCTGCCATGTGGACTGCATGCAAAGTGGACCATTATGTGGCTACTACTGAATTTCTTTGGTCTGTACCCTGTAGCCCTCAAAGTCTGGACATTTCTTATGCAATACATCCAGAGGATGCAAAAGCTCTATGGGACAGCATCCACAAAACACCTGGGGAGGTTACCCAGGAAGAAGTTGACCTATTCATGGACTGCCTTTATTCACATTTCCATAGACATTTCAAGATTCATTTATCAGCCACAAGATTGGTTCGTGTTTCAACATCTGTAGCTTCAGCACATACTGATGGAAAAATAAAGGTTAGTTTGAACAATCTAGTTAAGTAATTTTTCCTCATTTTATGGTTTTAAAAATGTATGATGATTGTATTGTCCACATTGAAGAAACATACTTGAATGTATTCAAGACAACAGAGAGCTTTTATGTTATGGTTTATGGTTTACTAAAGTCTTTAGCCTTCTAGATATAGCCTTATAATGGAAGGACACTATATGCTGTGTGCTTCAGCCTTTGGTAATAATATGAATTATTATTTCGTAGTAACTTTGAAACTTTGAAAATTGTTTCTTGTGAAATTTTGAATTAATTATCAGAGTAATAGAGAATTTTGTATGTTAGACAAAATTATAGCCAGAAACACAGGACTAAGATGTCATCTTTATATTCTAGGCTTTTCTATCCTTATTGGGAAAGAAATAATACAGACATTGTTTTATTCTCTGCAGAGTGATTTCTGATAAGAAGTATCAGAAATAGGGCAGGCACAGTGGCTCATGCCTGTAATCCCAGCACTTTGGGAGGCTGAGGCGGGCGGATCACGAGGTCAGGAGATCGAGACCATCCTGGCTAACACAGTGAAACCCCGTCTCTACTAAAAATACAAAAAATTAGCCAGGTGTGGTGGCAGGCGCCTGTAGTCCCAGCTACGTGGGAGGCTGAGGCAGGAGAATGGTGTGAACCCGGGAGGCAGAGCTTGCAGTGAACTGAGATTGCGCCACTGCACTCCAGCCTGGGCAACAGAGTGAGACTCTGTCTCAAAAAAAAAAAAAAAAAAAAGTATCAGAAATAAACTGAGAATTGGCTCCCAAAATGTGTTAAAATATACAGCCACAATATACATTCAGTAAATGTTTCCTGTGATCTTGTTACCATGCCAAGAGTTTAACAGACCTTAAATTCTAATCTTTAGAGCAACCCTGTAGTTAGGTGTTTTTTGTGTGTTTGCTTTTTGTTTTTTTTGAGACAGAATCTTACTCCATCACCCAGGCTGGAGTGCAGTGGTGCGATCTCGGCTAACTACAACCTCTGCCTTCTGGGCTCAAACGGTTCTTGTGCCTCAGCCTCCTGAGTAGCTGGGACTACATGTGCCTGCCACCATGCCCAGCTAATTTTTGTATTTTTAGTAGAGTTGGGGTTTCACCATGTTGGCCAGGCTGGTCTTGAACTCCTGACCTCAAATGATCCACTTGCCTTGGCCTCCTGAAGTGTTGGGATTACAGGTGTGAGCCACTGTGCCCGGCTAGTTAGGTTTTATTATTATTATTATTATTTTTCCTTTGAGATGGAATCTTGCTCTGTCTCCTAGGCTAGTGTGCAGTGGTGTGATCTTGGCTTACTGCAGTCTCCACCTCCTCGGTTCAAGCAATTCTCCTGCCTCAGCCTCCCGAGTAGCTGGGATTACAGGCGCCCACCGCCATGCCTGGCTAATTTTTGTATTTTTAGTAGAGATGGGGTTTCGCCATGTTGGCCAGGCTGACCTCGTGATCCAACCGCCTCAGCCTCCCAAAGTGCTGGGATTATAGGCGTGAGCCACCGTGCCCGGACAGTTAGGTGTTTTTATCCATATTTTATTTTAAAACAAGGAAACTGAGACTAAGACAGGTTTAAATGACAAGCAAGATAGCTTATCAAGAGGAAGAATCAAGATTTGAACTCTTACCTCTTAGATCCAAGAAGTCAATACTCTGTAAGCACTATATTCATGCTTTTCAAACTGGAGGTCACAGTGCAACAGTAGGTTGGGAAATAATTTTGATGAGAAGAGACCAGCATTAAGAAATAAAAAAGGAAAGAAATAGAAAATATAAAAATGAGAGGTTTGTTTTTTGTTTTAGAGACAGAGTCTCACTTTTTTTTTTTTTTTTTTTTGAGACGGAGTCTCGCTGTGTCTCCCAGGCTGGAGTGCAGTGGCGTGATCTCGGCTCACTGCAAGCTCCGCCTCCCGGGTTCACGCCATTCTCCCGCCTCAGCCTCCCAAGTAGCTGAGACTACAGGCGCCCGCCACCACGCCCGGCTAGTTTTTTGTATTTTTAGTAGAGACGGGGTTTCACCATGTTAGCCAGGATGGTCTCGATCTCCTGACCTCGTGATCCACCCGCCTCGGCATCCCAAAGTGCTGGGATTACAGGCTTGAGCCACCGCGCCCGGCCGAGTCTCACTTTTTCACCCAGGCTGGAATGCAGTAGCGTGATTATAGCTCACTATAACCTTTAACTCCTGGGCTCAAGTGATCCTCCTCCCTCAGCCTTGTGAGCAGCTGGGACTATAGGTGTATACCACCACACCTGGCTGTTTTTTACATTTTACAATTTTTTGTAGCGATGAGGTCTCCCTTTGTTGCCCAGGCTGGTCTTGAACTCCTAGGCTCAAGTGATCCTCCTGCTTCAGCCTCTCAAAATGCTGGGATTATAGGGATAAACCACTGTGCCTGGCCAAAAATGAGTGTATTGCATTTGTTAAACTTCATGAATTAAATCCAAAAGTTAGACCAGTATAACATTGATTAGTAAATATCAATCTGCTTTGTTATAATTAATACTATTCTAATTATAAATGTCTTCTTCTTTTTCTTTTTGCAGATTCTGTGTCATAAATATCTTATCGGAGTGTTAGCATACTTGACAGAACTGGCAGTTTTTCAAATTGAGTGAAGCCTTATGTGGACTATAAGTTATAGATTATATACTCTTTTTCTTACTGATGACTTGCCTAATTGCTATGCTGAAAGAGACTGCAGGAGACATAGGCATCTATCTCTGCATCTGTTTTCCCCACCATGCCTTTGGAGTTGCCAAGATGGAAGCCAAGAAGGATCTAGAAGTACAAAGAATATGGTAGTAGATGAGCCACAGCCAGGTGCCCATGTACTAATCATGATAACCTGGCATGCCAGTCTCAAAATGCTGAGTTGTTAATTTCTTGTCATCTTTAAATATATATATATATATAGGCTGGGCTTGGTGACTCACACCTGTAATTCTAGCACTTTTGGAGGCTGAGGTGGGTGGATCATTTGAGGCCAGGAATTCTAGACCAGCCTGGCCAACATGGTGAAACCGCTGCTCTACTGAAAATACAAAAATTAGCTGGGTGTGGTGGCGCATGCCTATAATCCCAGCTACTGGGGAGGCTGAGGCAGGAGAATCGTTTGAACCCAGAAGACAGGCTGCAGTGAGCCAAGATTGCACCACTGCACTCCAGCCTGGGCAACAAAGTGAGACTCTGCCTCAAAAAATAAAAAAAATAAAGTAAATAAATATAGTGTTTATTGTGTTTAAACTCTTAGGATTCAAATGAGATATATCTAATGGATATTTCTGATTTGAGTCTTTAAAACCTTTAATCTCTTTTAAGCATTTTAGACTTGCATTCAGAAAGAATTCTGTCTTCTAAAGACATTTTCCTAGCATTTCACTGCAGAGAACTGGCAATCAAAATCCCCTCAAAAGGGAACTAAGGATTAATGTACACATTTTTTTTAGTCACTAATATGCTTCTGTTTTAAATACAGTTCAACTCCTGTTGCAATGTTGAATTAAATGTTCGTTTTAAAGTGAACCAATGTGTTTATCAATGTCTTGACATCTTTTAATTAACATCTCAGTAGTGGAAATTGGTAGGCTTTTTCTATTAACACAGAGGGTGCGGACTAACAATTATATAGAATCATGCAAATTATAGAGTTGAAAGGCACCTGTGAGCCCTTTTTGAGGTCAGAAATTATCCTATTTAACCTTCATGTCCCAGTTTAGCATAATGCTTGATAAATATCTGTAGATTAAATCAATTTTTATCAACCCTTTCTTTTTACAGATGAAAACTGAGATCGAGCAACTTAAGAGTCTTGCCCATGATGTTTTATCCAAATCTCTTCTTTTTACTTACTGAGCGTAAGATTTTCTTTTACTTTAAGAATAATTTTTGGCTGGGCGCGGTGGCTCAAGCCTGTAATCCCAGCACTTTGGGAGGCCGAGACGGGCGGATCATGAGGTCAGGAGATCGAGACCATCCCGGCTAACACGGTGAAACCCCGTCTCTACTAAAATACAAAAAAAATTAGCCGGGCGAGGTGGCGGGCGCCTGTACTCCCAGCTACTCGGGAGGGTGAGGCAGGAGAATGGCGTGAACCTGGGAGGCGGGGCTTGCAGTGAGCTGAGATCCGGCCACTGCACTCCAGCCTGGGTAACAGAGCAAGACTCCGTCTCAAAAAAAAAAAAAAATAATAATAATAATAAATAATAATTTTTTTAAAATCTTGATTGGAAGAAAATTAATAGGCTATCATTCTCAAAAAAACAAAGATTAGCTACTGGAATGGGATATTATTTCAGATATACTAGGAGCAGCAGATGTAATGGGAAAAGCATGGGCTTTGGAGTGAGACATTCATCCATTCAACTAATATTAAACTCCTACCATATGCTTAGAATTGTATTGTGTAATAGGAATATAGCAGTGAAGAAGTGAAAAAAAGGTCTTTGTTCTGAGGAAATTATATTCTAGTGAAATAAAGCAAAAAGTAAATAATTTCAGAGACAAATGCCATGAAGAAAATAAGGCAGTGCAATATGAAAAAGGGTGACTGGGGTGGGGCCTACCTTTCATACAGTAGTCAAAGATCTATCTGAGGAAGTGACCTTTTGAACTTTTGAAGTGACCTTTTGAGTCCTGAATGATGAGATGGAACAAGCCATGTGAAGATCTGAGGAAGGGTGTGCTAGGCAGGAGAAACCTTGAGATAGGTAAGAGTTTGGCAGCTTTGAAGAACAAAGGAAGTTTTTTGGCTAGAGCATAGTGAATAAAGGGTGTATGGCCTATTATGAGCTGAAACTGAACAGGTTGTGCAGCAGAGCCTTCTTCCATGGCATAATATCTCCCAATTTTTGGCTGGGGCACCTGGCTGCCCAGAATAAAGATGATATTTTCCATCCTTCCTCGTAGGTAGGTATAGTCATATGAATATGTTCTGATTTGAGATACAAACTGAAGTGTCATGTAGAGCTTCCAGGAATCTTACCTATAATAAAAAACAGCTGGCATCCCCCTTTTCTTACTTTTCCCTTCTTCCCACTTTGCTGCCTGGAACATTGAAATTATGACTAGTACTATAGCTATTCTCTTAGGTCATGGGGATGAGGAACAAGTCCTAGGGATGACAGAGCATGGCCTGGGAGGAGCTTGTGCCCTGAGGTTTTCTTGAAGGTGAACTCCAGTGCCGGCCTTGGGCAGTCTTCCTCTAGATTTTCTTGTCAGAGAAGTAAACTTCTGTCTTGTTTTAGCTGTTGTCATTTTGGGTCTTTCTTGCTGATAGATCTAATTCTAACTTGATACAGAGGGAGGAGCTATATCACCTAAGTTTTTATAGTGTCAAGAGATTGGATTTTATTATAAATGCAATGGGAAGCCACTGAAAGATTTTAAGTAAGACAGTAATATGATTGAATTAGTATTTTATAAGATAGGAGGGAGAATGGGTGTAGGTAGACAAGAGTGGAAGAAGGGAAACAGTTAAAAGGTTATTGCAAATGATATAACCCTAATGGAGAAGAAGTTAGCAACATTGAACAAAAGTATATGTGCAGTCATCCTTTGATTAGCAATTCCACTTCTAGGATTCTGTCCCAAAAATTCACTGGCAAAAAATTACGAAATGAAGCATGTACACGGTTACTTATTACAATAGTATTTGTAATAGCAGGACTAAAAACAACTCAGACGCTCATCAGGCCTGGTATAGCTGCAAAATGAATTACTACTATGCAACTATAAAAAGGAATGGGGAAGATATCTCTTTACTCCCATGGAGTGATCTCCAGGATATATTGTTATGTGAAAGAGCAATGTATGTGGACAGAATGTAGAGTATTGTACTTTTTATGTAAGGAATGAGGGAGATATGAGTGTGTATTTCCTTATGCTTTCAAAAAACAATGGAAGGATAAACCACAAACTTATAAATGTATTTACTTATAGAGAGAAGGAAGGAACAGAGTAGAGGGGACAGGAATGAGAGTTAAGATTTACCTGAATGTTCCTTTTTTATAGTTTAGAACCATGTAAATGTTTTGTATAATTGGGAGACAAAATTAGAATCAAAGGAAAAAACAAAGCAATCCTTAGCAATTAAAAATAAATGAGCCTAACTATATTAAGTTCATGGCATAATCACACAAGTTTTTTTGTTCTTTTTTGAGACACGGTCTTGCTCTGGAGTGCAGTGGCACAATCACAGTTCACTGCAATCTTGACCTCCCTTGCCCAAGCAATCCTCCAACTTCAGCCTTCCAAGTAGCTGAGACTACAGTCATACTGCCACCACGCCTGGATAATTTTTTAATTTTTGTAGAGGTGGGGTCTCCCTATGTTGTTCAGGCTGGTCTTAAACTCCTGGGCTCAAGCGATCCTCCTGCAATGGCCTCCCAAAAGTGCTGGTATTACAGGCAAGAGCCACTGTGCCCAGCTCACACAAATTTTTTTCAGTATCTATTTTTATTTTATTTTGTTTATTTCATTTCATTTTACTTTACTTTATTTTATTTTATTTTTTATTTTAGAGACAGGGTCTGGCTGTGTTGCCCAGGATGGAGTGCAGTGGCACGATCTCAGCTCACTGCAGCCTCTGCCTCCTGGGCTCAAACCATCTTCCCTCCTCAGCCTCCCAAGTAGCTTGGACTACGGGTGCATGCAATAAAGCCCAGCTAATTTTTTGTATTTTTGGTAGGAATGGGGTTTCACTGTATTGCCCAGGCTGGTCTTGAACGCTTCCCACCTCAGCCGAGGCTCAAACAATCCTTCCTTGGCCTCCCCAAATGCTAGGATTATGGGCATGAGCTACCATACCTGTTCTTTATATTTTTATTTTATAGATGGGATCTTGCTATACTGCTCAGGCTGGGCTCAAACTCTTGGGCTCAAGTGATCCTCTCGCCTCAGCTTCCTGAGTAGCTGGGGACTACAGGTGTGTGCCACTATGTCTGGCCTTTTTTCTTTTTTTTTTGATAATTTTTTTTTTTTTTTTTTTTTAAGAGTTGAGGTCTTGCTATGTTGCCCAGGCTAGTCTTGAACTCCTGGGCTAAAGTGATCCTCCCCTCTTGGCCTCCCAAAGTGCTGGGATTGCAGGTATGAGCCACTGCACCCGGTCTGGAGTATCATTAAATTTGTGTATCTTTAAATTTTTAGTATCTTTAAATTTGTGGTATTCTGGTTGTATATTCTAGCAGGCTCCATCCTAGAAAAAGAAGAGCAGCAAATAAATTTTAAATCACATTCAGTTGTCTTGTTATTAATAATATGGCTATTATTATTTTGGCACTATTTATATTATGGTAACATGTATGTAATTATTCAGATTTTCAGTGTAGGCTGGGCATGGTGGCTCATGCCTGTAATTCCAGCACTTTGGGAGGCCGAGGTGGGTGGATCATCTGAGGTCGGAAGTTCAGACCAGCCTGGGCAACATGGCAAAACCACCGTCTCTACAAAAAACACAAAAAATTAGCCAGGCACGGTGGCACGTGTCTGTAGTACCAGCTACTCAGGAGGCTGGGTTGGGAGGATCACTTGAGCCTGGGAGGTGGAGATTGCAGTGAACCAAGATTGTGCCACTGCAGTCCAGCCTGGGTGACATTAAAAAAAGAAAAAAAAATTATCAGTGTAAAAGATACACAATTATAAAATCAAGTAAGTAAAAAATCATATTACATTTAATTGGGAATATCAGAATTCTTATTTTTGAAGTGCAAAAGTTTTAAATTTTCATGAATTCTAATCGATCAATTTTTGTTCTTTTATTACTTGTACTTTGGTGTTTAATAAATCATTGATTAACCTCAGGTCCTAAAGGTTTACTTTTGTTTTCTTCTCAGGATTTTCTAATTAGAAAATTAGGTCTGTCATTTTGAGTTAAATTTTGTGTATGGTGTGAGGTAGGGTTCCAAATTCATCCTTTTGCATGTGGATATTCACTTGCTTCAGCACCATTTGTTGAAAGTACTTTTTTTCTTATTGAATTGTCTTGTCACCTTTTTCAAAAATCAGCATTTCATGGATGTTTGGGTTTATTTCTGGACTTCCTATTTCATTGTACTTGTCACTTCCTATGCCAGTATGACACTGTCTCAATTACTATAGCTTTGTAGTGAATTTTGAAATCAGGAAGTGTGAGAACTTCAACTTTGTTTTTTCCCAAGGTTATTTGGCTGAGTCTTTTGCATTTCCATAAGAATTTTAGGATCAACTTGTCAATCGTTGCCAAAAAAAAAAAAATTTGCTGGGATTTTGATAATGATTGTGTTGAATCTATAGAGCAGTTTGGGGAGTGTTGCCATAATGATAGTAAATCTTCTAATCTATGAGCAGGATGTTTTTCCATTTATTTAATCTTCTTCAAATATTTTATTCTTTTAGATCTATTGAGAATGGAATTGTTGTCTTAATTTCATTTTCAAATTGTTTGTTGCTAGCATATAGAAATACAAGTGATTTTGTATATTGCTCTTGTATCCTGTGACTTTGCTGAACTTAGTTTTTTTTCACTGAATTCTTTAGGAGTTTCTACA